AGTGAAAAATTATAACGCTGTGTATGTTTTGTCCATTACATCATGTAGTCGATAGTTTCAGTGATGCCAGCTGGTGCTTGTCACCAGAACGTCTGTGTGAATAAAGGTTAAAATAATTCTAAGCTACACCCCCTGTAGGTCTTTGCTAGGTAAATCAAAAACACTTGCGGGAAAATCGAATCGCAAGAGGGTGCCCGAAGGTTGTTGGTCAATTCCATGAAATGCTTTGTAGAACGCCATGCATGGAGGTCCGTGGAGGCCGGTGAAACTCCATGGAGGTCCCCGGCGCTCCGCACAATCTTCCGTGGTTTTCAATGGAATATCCTGTGAATGGTAGTGGCTTGCCGTAACTTTGATTCGTTTTCCGTGGAATTTCATGGAAGGAAGTCGTCGAAAATTCGGTGAAATTCCCCGACGTAACCTTAGACCTTCCACTCGGAAAGATAGTCGCCAGCAATCCCGTCAAAAGATTGGGTTTTCCGGTAGAACATGCAAAAAGCGGATGAGACAACGAGGCACCCATCGATAAGCGTAGTACGAACGTTACCAGTTCGGACGGTCTGACGCGGGTCCCGCTGCTCGGCGTCGGTGTGTCCCGACAACTCTTGAACAACGCCCACACAAACGTACGATTAGCGCCAGACGATGCAAGAAAGTTCTGCTACGTGATAGGCGATATCCTTGTGACTGACTTCAGACAAACGTTCGGTTGGGCAAGTTCCTCCGGGTTCTGGGGCGTCATGGCCGTGACAGTAAAGCATTTACACCAAAATGCTAACATGAACACGGTGTGAAACGATTTTGACGAAAGGATAGCCATGATGTCACGTGTCACAAAAGTAGACTCATGGGACTATAATAGGTGTTACCCACACAAGTGCCCTCGAAGCCACCAAAAAGCCGCACACAGGCGGTGCTGTAGGATCGACGACGACTTATTTTGTGGGGAATACGTGACTAGAAGTTAGCCACCAATTGTCAACCTAACACGTATGGAGTGGGCTTTGCGTTAGGGTTTGGGTTATCGTTATGTAGTGTTATTAGCCTTTACGATTCCTGTTCCAACGCAGAAAATCTACTGTGTAGGAGTCGGTTCAAGGTCTCTCACTACCAGTCCATGGGCTTCACATTGGTGCTTTAGTAAAGCTGTAGAAGATGTGGGAGACCCCTAGAGCTCAGCACACACCGCACGAGGACTGCATCCGCATCACCGAAGTCCGACTGTGTTCAGTTGTTTGTGCGCCGATCCTGAAAGGTATGCACTAGAACACTCCTGTGGATTTTCTAGGCAACACTGTTGATACGTGTGTTATGTAGGACCGAAGCAACATAATTCATGATAGAGTACGAATGGCCGAGGGATAGGAGATACGTCAGCGAAGTTGTGGAACTCGAATTGCGTCATGAGGGCGGGGACGTATTTTGTCTGGTGCCTTTAACTCCCCTCAGGTCTCCACGATATGGCCGTAGGCCGACGTGAAAGAAGAAGCAAGTGCCACTGTATTAGGAGTTTTATGATGACCTGGATTTATGGAGATGGGGTTCTTGAGCACAAGCATGGACGAAAGGGGAGAGTCGTTCAGCGTTTTCTTCTTTGACCATGAGCGACACATGTCATGGCGGTGGTACCTATCTGACGCTAGCTTTGAAACCGTTGGAGTCTACTGCTTGCAGTTGGAGGCGTTCTGGAAACATCAAATTCACGTCTGAGTTCACCAGCGAGTTGAAGAGAAAGGCCCGAGCCAAGGCAACGAGGGGTATCATTATAAACACACTAGAACTGCTGCGTAGTGCAAATGATCATCATGGACAAACCAACCAAGCCGGGGCAAGCTATACTCGTGAGAGGAGAAATCGTGTCGGCGGTATCATCGGTGAACAGATGCGGGTGACCAGATGACAGACAGGCACGCTTGCTAACGAGGCTACTGGGTCGAATGGAAGTTGAAACGGTTGGTGCCACGTGGGAAAACATATTCCAGGACGACAGAACACGGTAGCGGATAGAACCTCGACGTGAAAGCCATACGAGGTAGACAGAAACGTACGGAGGCTAACCAAAGACGACGCCTGGAAGAACCAAGATATCGGAGATCGGCGACAGCAATGGATTGAAATGATATTGAGAGAGAGACTCCCAAGCAGACGCATGGATGACCAGCGGTGGGAATAATAACGAGAGTCTACACAACGAGGGCGCGACAAAAGAGACTTGAAGTGGTGTTCACGGAGACAGGGTTTAACGAAGAGAAGGACGCAAACGCTGCGCCCGCTTGCCGACCGATTCATGAGCACAGGAGGGTCAACCGAAGGAAGTGAGCATTTCGTCGACCTCTTGGTTCACGCATCACTGAGCTCCAGCACTTTGAAAGGGTACCGTGGCAGATGGGTCACGTGGAAGGCAGAGAGCCAAGGCAAAGGTGGGACCGTGGATACACGAAGAAGATGATGTCGATAGCGCAGTAATAGCTATAAGAACGTTTTTCATGGCGTCAAGGTGTCTTGCGTACAAAGATCAAAGCTAAACGACACCTGGCGCGACTTGGTGCGTCCACAAGCGAGATGCAGGCTAGGAGTTGCCCACGTCGCACTTCAGGGTAGAAGCTTCAAGAAACGGCCATGAATAGGGTACTCGCGAAGTCGGGATCGAAGCAAGTTGCGAGGAAATCATTAACCGTGCCCATGGTACGTAGTACAACAAGCAATACGAGACAAGGCGCAGGTGAGCGCATTGAACTTGATTATGTGGATGGGCATTGCTTCAGCAGGCATTTTTCTATGTCGCGCACCAGCGCTTCGGGCCTATGATAACGGTCAATCTAGTCATCTACAGTAGTCTGTTCAGATTTTGTCTCACCAGGGGAAGTTTCGAGATTTTCGGGAGAGTGCAGAAGAAAGCGTAGAATGACAGAAGGCAAGCAGGCGAGGTCCAAGCGACGTTCACAACGTCCAAATGGAATCTCAAGAGGCAAGGACTAGTGTAGTCGTGACGAGGGAGAAGCTTGCGAGGGACCAAGTGGGAAGAGAACATCGATTGGAAGAGATGAGACGCTCGAACGTACGTTGGACATACGACTGCAGATGTGCAGCCTGAGCATAAGTAGCACTCATGCATTGGGTAAAACGAGGGAAACGGGCGGTTGATCATGGTCAGAAGCAACAGAAATGTTGGAGTGCCGAGAAATATGGCGGGAGTTGTGGAAAGAGATCCTCGAGCGTTCGCGTTGCATTCTCGTAGAACTGGCGGTGCCCAGCAACTGCTAAGCAACAACCGTCTGCGACCGAAATCCAGAGAGCGGGGAGATAGAAATCAGCGGCGTTCAGGACCTACACAAGACGAGGGGGAGGAGGATGAGCGAAACATGGTCGCACGCATTAGCGAATAGTGTAGAGGAAAGAATAACGCCGAAATCGGACCGTCCTGTGGAGTACGAATCGCAGGAGGAGTCGGTTTGGCCCGAAAAGCCGCGGAAAATGAGGTCGAGAGCAAGTAGACAGATCGAATCATGTAGCGAATGTTTTAGGTGTGATAATTTTTTGTTCGATGTTCGATTCGTGTTGTTTTGATAGTCCAATATTTCTCATGCAAACACAACCAAGTCAGCCTTCGTTCCTCGGGACTTTATAGCACGTACCAATGAGCGGCCGCGATTGTGACTGGACCAGTAACCGATAACAAACTGCATACATACGTGTAAGAATGATAAGGTGCATATTGCAGATGAGCTCAAGACACACGAGGTTGGAAAGTGCCCGAAACGACTCCCCGACATTCTGAGGACGGTGCAGACAGATACGTACATGCAGGTTCTCTTGCGGTACGGGCGTGCGGTGGGCTGCTGATGCTAAGCTGGTGGGGGGAAAAACATTCTGAACGGATCGAATTTCCGGATCACACACTCGCAAGATTGGCTACAATCTGTTGTTGTTCTGCGTGTAGTGTGTTTGGCAACCTCGTTTGGGGTTTCGCAGGGGACAATCGGATTTGTTGCAGAAACGGGAGAACCGTCTGTTCTTTGAGGTACGTCAGATGCCTGAAACAACTTGAGTCCCCCCTCCATTCGAAAGTTCAGACAGAAGTGATCACATCTCACCAAGCTACGCTAAGCACCGGAGAATGGGTTGCTTAACGAAAGCTGCCAACAGTCACACTGAAGCCATCAACAGTTAGACACACGGCGTGATCCTCGTTCCTGCTAAACCGCCAAGCTACATTACTTTCAGAGAGGGACCCATCCGTGCTTCTTTGCGGAATTCCATTGCGCTGATGAGGGTATGCACGGTGTGATCTCTCAACGGACTGTGGTCCGCTGCATACATACGCGGCATCAATGCCCAACAACGTGTGAAAGTTGTCGGGCAATGTACGGGGGCTTAATCGAACAACCGCGTACATGTTGGTCGGGGGCAAGCAGCTCCCGGCTGAATGACCAGTTACAGTGTACAGGTTTCCCGTGCGACCATAAATGACAGTCTCAGCGAGTGCTTTGCGTTCCCAACGAAGCGAGAAAGAATTTGCACGTCGTCTATGCGCACACGATGTTGATCTCACCAGGTCAGTTGAAATGAAGCGCGGAGAGTATCGCTGCCAAAGCGGCCAGCTGTAGGGAAAGTCCGATATCGTTGCCCAAAGCGCCACGTCGTACCTGCAATTAACATTGGGTTTTCAGTGTAGAGAATCTCAATGTTGAATACACCACATTAGCAACAATGACATTTGTTGGATTCCCTTCTTTCTTCATGCGAAGAGTCATGCNCTCGCTATCTCGCTCTCTGCAGCTCACCATCCAATACAATTTGGCATCGTCGCGTACATACCACTAGACTATGCGAGAAGATTGTTCAGAACGGCAAACGGAATGTCCTGGTCCTCGCGAAACATGGGGTTTCCCTCGCTCATTGTGGAATAAATATCGACACACAACCATCAGATACACCTTTTCTGTAATTCCTCATCGATACCAGGATCTCTATGAGTTCCACAAACACCAAATAATCGCGGACCCAGGACCTCCGGAATTAAGATTGTACAAAACACCTCTTCATACCGGACGCACATGTACACGCGATATTTCAGAGGTAGGGATTATTCGTACACGTGTCGAAGGAGCGATCAGCGTGAAGTATGCTCAATATGGTCAACAAGACAAAATGGGGCGGTAAGTGTTGGCGATGATGCACAAACACACGGCGTTGAGCATGAACCACTTGGTAGCGGTCGAGGTACGAGCTGGTAATGAAACTCGTTCAACCTTTCATACTTCAATGAATGCATCCAAGTTCTGTGAGCATGAACTTACGAGAACGTGTATTCCCATCGGCAGAACGTGAAGTTCACGAACTCAACAAACGCCGGGTCCGTGTTGTTATCTGTCCAATCAAGCGGAATTGACGTGGGGCGGAGAATGCAGGTAGCACACGTTTTGCGGTGGCGGGTGTGAACCAGCTAAACAAGTAAATCAATCTGTTTGACGTCTATGATGCTAATACCTCGTAGAAGGTATGGGGGGTCTCGAGGAACTGCCTTTCATGACTTGGGAAAAATTCCACGTGCAATTGGTCCGACACCCACGCTCTTTCCCCTCCTAACCCACAACCGACCTTCCGATGGGTTTGGTACGCAACAAGGCGTTTAAAAATTATTCATAAACTGTGGAAGTAACAGTATTAGAGCGAAGAAGATGGGCGAGTCAAAGTAACTACAAGAACGAAATTTGCGTCCAGCCATACGAAGGGAAATCTGAAGCAACCCTGTACAGTTCGACACTCGACGCTCCGGGGGAGTAGCGAACTTCAAATGTTGGAAAAACGAGGTGATGGGACGGTGTCACTGTAGAAACGGATACTTCGGACTTTTTCGCGGGCGGTTGGCGCACCCAAGAACTCACAAAGGGCGTTTCCGTTAAGATGTCCGAGGATGTGCCACATTTCCGTCAATGCTGCCGTTTGATGAAACTCAGTTCCAGTCAGCGTGCTCCCCTTCACCCAATACCTCTCAGACGAGGAGAACGCCGCATTGTACAGCCTTGCAAAGCTCGAAGCGTGAGCCATGACAACATCCCACTCTAAGATAGCGAGCGCATCATACTCCTCGAGGTGCCGAACCACGTCTTCGTCCAGAAACAGTTTGTAGAACATCACTGAAGAGCCTTTCGGATATACGTTTTCCTGTTTTCAATGGCGGCAGGTGAGGAAGAGAAACATTGTCGTCAACCAGTGGATATGGATGGGGCGGGCCTATCTTTCTCGACATTGGAGTCGTTTTCCAGCCGAGTACGGGGGACGGGGGATTCCAGTCGGTTTCATCGTTCTGTATCTCGTTAGGATTTGGAAAGTGCGATACAAGATTCGGAGAAGCGTTTGGTTGGGGGGGAACTCTGTAGTTCGCCTGAAGTCCTCGCTTTCAGTACATACGCTTGTGCCTCTGGTCGGGTCTCCCGTGCCTTCTATTGCTTCGCTTTAACGCCCATGGGTCGCCATGGGTCGGCAGCTCAGAGGTGAATAATATGCCGCCCGTGGGTACATTTGTTGCGCATGGTTGACCCATGCTTGAACCATGGTCATGCCCATGAGCATGCCAATGGGTAAGTCCGCGAGCAGCCCATTGACGGCTCATGAGCAACCCATGAAAAGCCCCATGAACGGCCAATGAGAGTCCTTCGACCAGAACCAGTGTCAGTGTACTCCATAACAATAGATTTTTTGCTCTGGAACGGGCATTATTGCGGCAAATAACCCTAACGCTATCACCAAGCCCATACGATGCGTGCCAGGTTGGCGCTAGCTACTAAGTTCTACGTTGCAGATGGCAAAGTTCTAGGTTGGTATGCACGGTGGCGAAGGTCTAGGTTGAAGTGCCCATGGGCAGTTTTGCGAACTGTGAGTAGTGCGGGAGATCGTGAGGCCGAAACGTGAAGTCAAGGAATATTGACGAGCCTTCGCGACGTTCGAGATTTACGCATGGCGAGCCAACGCGCCTTGGTGTGTTGGAATGGCGGTTGGCGTTGATTTGCACAACTATCTTGCACTAACAGATATCTACTTCAATCTGGTTGTATGCTGTTGATATGATCCACGCCCTGTTCGTGCTTTCCACTGTCAGGATATTCGTTTCATCGCATATGACTCAGGTCGACACAGGTACATTTGGATACCCTCACCTATGGCCTTCCGCACTGTCGAACCCCCGTGTATCAATATTCTTCTTTTCGTGTATGACGTCCTCACGACGCGCTCGGCTTGATTTTATTTGGCTTTGGCTTTCTTTGCTTTCGACCGATGTTAATCATCCGATATGACGTGCTACGGTTGGTTAAGGATTGGCCTCCCGCCCCCCAATTGGGCGGGCAGATGGATGACCGCGAGGGTTTGGGGAGATGTTAGGAATAAGAAGAAGGAAGACGACACGTTAGTGGCAACGTGGCAAGAAGGAACGGTGTATCAAGACAAGATGAAGACGTGAAGGCGTGAAGACGTTCGCGAAGAGCGAGAGGGCTCAGGAGGGTGAAGCATCGCCCCCCCCGCCCTCAAGGGCAAAAGGTGTGAAAACCGAGCTGGTCTGCGGGAACGGCCGACGTGTGCTGCGCCGCTTTGGTCGATGCTGTCAAACATTTACGTGTTGTGCTGAGTAGTACCGTACATTGGGACTACCTATCGACCATTTCAATTCGCGGAGAGACTAAAGCAACTCGTGTTCAAAAAAAATATTTCCTGTCCCATGCAGGCAAGACGCGCGTCCACATCCATCCTTCATTCGGTGCGGCAATAGTGAATTCATCCAATGTTTCGCGTAAGGTTTTTGACGATTAGCAACGATTGTAACTCGATGCAAATCATGCTGCTGTTGTAAGAAGGAAAAATAGCCACCCGATATCCGAGAAACGTTTACAATTACAGTACATGGAGCGATTACAACATACTTCGAGTACATCGCACCTCGTAGTTCCCATGGTAAGGAACCGAAAGTAGGGTAAGAAGTTTGGGTGGGTGAACCACAGTATACAACACTCCATGTTCGCCTCCTTGCAACCATGAAGTCTACTCCGAGTAGTGACGATTGTGGGATATCATCTCTGGACACATCCATGACCCTAGTAGTCTTAATCTGCGTTTGCTTTTTGCATGTTCTTGAATCACCCCGTGCCGTGGTGCTCCCTTTCCCCACTCCGGAGGGACGCTTGTATCAACCACCTGCGACGTGTGTGGGCCTGTATCCTGCAGTTGCGTGTGATCGAACGTGTGTGTCTATTGCTGCGGATACTGCTGCTGCTGCGTAAGAAAGCGTGTGTGTGGATAAATGGGTGCTTGAAGCTGCGCTACCCCTATCTGACCTGCGGTAGGTCTACAAGTACGGCCGACGCGTGCTGCGCGTCCATGCTCCGTGCTTTCTACCAGTTGCGACGCGTGTCGGCCTTTATCATGCGCTTGCGCGTGACTTAACGTGAGCCTGCTCCGGTGTCTAGTCCATGCAGTACTGCTGTGGCAAGAAAAATATTGAAAATATTCGAGCTACTAGATAGAGTTGGAGGTGGAATAGTTTTTTTGCCCAAAAAAGAACAAAAATGACGCCTCCCGCGGATGCGTCCATGTGACATATGTATTTGCACAATAGGTGTGCTATCTCGAGATACCGACCACGGATTGCAAAGGTAGCGGTTGGGACAGCTCGGGCAAATTGTTATTTGTTGTGCGCAAGTTTCAGTTTGCACTTTGGTGCCGAGATGGTGAAATGGGCTCGAGTCTGCTGGGTTATTTAGGGCGCGCAGACAGACACCAGACAGACAGACAGACAGCCACTGCGAAATTTTCAAACTCCTGTGCATTAAAATTATTATTCTTCTCGTGCGCACATACTCCACACACGATCCCTCTAAACAGTTTTTTTTTTTGCAAAACAAAAAGCGTACCCCTAAACGGGCAACACTTTTCGCTAAAAAAAAAAACTATTACAACAGTGATTCGAAGTACATGTTGTATTTCCCGTGCTATCTGACACTGTAGCGAGGAAAATGTGTCACGTCACGACGACATCCATCCTTCAAGGATATGGATAACGTGATTGGCGGTTTAAATACATATATGCCGAGACCATGCCACTATATCGCAAAGCTCGCGTGCTTCCGTAGCGCGTATTGGCGAGATAAAGATGGGGCCCGTCCGTAAAGACGCAAGGAACTTGATATTTCATAGTTTCGGAAGCGTATTACCTGGCTTGCTTGTGTCTCGTCCCTTTTTGACCTTATCGTGCAGACGCACGATCTCACACAAGATCCAAGCACTACCAGCACACGTCGCTACAAGTTGAGATGGGGATGGGGTCACCCCTCCTGTTGCGGGTTGCATACCCTCGTCTGCTGCCCATTGAACACCAGCAATCGATAATCAATAAAATCAACAAACGATTGCGCCTCATCATTGTTTTTGCCGAAACAATTTCGTATATACATTCATGTAGTCAACTGTACAGTCTACCGTGAGTTCCGCGGCCAACCCCAAAGCGCCCGCTAGTCGTCTAGCGAAAAACGATAACAGCTGCACCGCATGCCACGACAGTTGTCGCCGTTCCTCCTCTGATTTAGTCGTCATGGTGCGGTGAACGATTGGGATACCTCCCTTATCATGCGATCATGCTTTATCATGTTACATATATTCTCACAGATTGCGGTCGTGTGGTGACACATTTCGAAGTTTAAGAATGGGAAAAAAACACAATGGTTGCTCAATGCACAATTTCCGACTGGGCTCCAAATTTTCCATACATATGAGGAAGCAGATTTGATTTAGAATCAAGAAAGTTTCCTGGAAACTTCCTGCAGGCAACTATTTTTGGATTTAAGCGGCTTCATATGATGTGTCGTGGACACGACCGAAAACTTGCGCATCTTGATGGAATTCCTCCTGCGACCGGACGAAGGGCACTTCAATGCGACGCCACCGTTCCAAGTGACACGCAAGGGCTGTGGACAAGTCTTAGCAAAGGCACCCACCCGCAGCCATAAACGAACGTGTTTTCTAAGTTGTGTTGTTTCGGATACATTCGGTCGATGCACCCACCCCCGAAAAAGAGACAAGCAATTGACGCGTACAAGTGCGTCCAAACGCATCGTACGCACGAGGCGTCGGAAACGATTTTTCAAACCACATCTGATAGCAGCATATAATAGAGCGACGAGATCAAGAAGTTCACGTTCGCGCTGCAGCACCAGCAGCACCAAGTACAGCGGTAGTAGGTGATTGATGATGAATCAGAGCCTTTTTTTTCACGCCGTCAAACAGCAGTCAAACTCGTTTCTCCCGCGTTGCTACAGTACACAGCAGAGACTCCTGCATACATCACATGTAAAGTTGCAATGGTAACCTCCGTGTGATGGTTTAGGCCCCAACCACATTTAAACAACATATTCGCCTGATTGAGAGCGTAGCATCTGATTGAGAGCGAGATTGCGCGATACGCTGTAGCCGGACTACCACTGAGAGGTGGAGCTTGCTGTGTAGCTTGAATTGAAGGGCTAGCCCGTAGCTTCAAGCCGCTACCCTGGTCATCCTGTGGGAGTCTCTCGTTGTGGAGCTACAGCGGGGAGCAGAAGCTACAGCAGAGCCCACCGCCCGACGCGATACCGCCCTGAAACAGTTTGAGCAGAAATAGCCAATCTGGGCAAATCTAGCAACTTGTCTAGCTCCTCGCTGCAGCATCCGATGACGATGACACGCATATGCTCGCGAAGCTGCTGATGAGACCTTCAATTTGCACCGCTTCTTGGAATAGCCCGTCCCCTACTTGCCAAGAAATGGCAAGAGGCGTCTGGACCCGAAATTTCTTTTTTTTTTGCTCTCGCTCTCAATCAGGCGAATATGTTGATTTATCGAATTACGTCTGCTTCTCTTGTTGGAGAGCTTGGTGCGCCGGGCGCAGTTGTAGACGGCAAAAATAAAAGAACCGCGCGGCGAGTTTTCCGGCAACGATGAAATACAGTAAACTGCCCGCGGATGTGGTAACCCGCCGCATCTGTGATGTTCCGGAGCGTGATGGCTCTGATGTGTTGACGATGGTGCTGTGATAGCTGTTGTGATGACGTGATAGCCTAAAGGCGTGACAGCCTGGCCGCTTGATAGCTGGTGGTAATATAGTATGGACACGG